AGTAAAGGTAGAGCCATTAATTTTCGACAAAAATGTTTAACATCATCGTCGTTATTATAACTTGTAGATAATCCAACACGTTGTGCAGCTCGATAGACAGCTTGAGTAAAGTGAAAGTAACAGGATGAATGTGTTGCTCCAGAAAACTGAAAAAGACAAATATAAACTTAACTAAGAAATATTAGACACTTACTTCAGCTGCAATTACACTTATAAGACCAGGTTCAAAATCTGTCATTATCGATTTTGGCGTAAAGTTCAATTGCATCTGTGTAGCTGTTGATTTTCACTCTTGAAACATAAAATGATATGTACTTTTGAATCGATTAGGTAATAAACCGAATACGCAAGGAAATGCTAAATAAAAATATCATTAGATGGATGTAAATATTCAAATGTCAATGTATCCACTTACATTGATCATATTTAATGGCATGAATTGTATATACTTGATCAAACATTTTAGGACAAGTTGAAAATGTTCCATCCATCAATATTTTATCAGAATTAAATAACAGTTTCAGTTGATCATTTGATGCAAATAGAATTATATGTTGTCGTCTTGTAATCATTTTATCAACAATTAAAAAATCATTATTTCGCAATGTTTTTGCAAAAGGTTCAGGGATATCAAATAGCTGTGTTGTTGGAATGATAGGTGTTATTGCACGACGAGCTTTATTTATTCCATTATCTTAAAATTAGAAAAAAATAAAAATTAATATTGAATATTTCTATAGAATATGTTCGTACTCATTTCACGTTCACTTGGTAATATAGCTATTGTTGCATTTGCTAACAATGCTTTTTCACATTCTTCATCATAAATACGTGGAATGGGCGTTGTTTCATTTATTGCTCGTTGTTTTACTTTTTCACGAAATTCACGAACTTGAATATCTTCTTTTTCTGAAGGATGACTATGATCATCAATTGTTTTAAGTAATTTATCATTCAAATTTGTATGAATTTTAGAAGAGCATCCATTGTATATACACTTCCAATATTTAGTTGTAGTTGTTGTTTTGTTTAGTTTGAAAGTATATTCATTTGCTACTAATAAATTTTTTCCTTTTTGTGATTTAATAAATGAAATGCTCAATTTTGGTTGAGTTCCGTCATTTGAAAATACCGTATTTGTTGCTATACTATTATTACTTTAGTTATTTATTTACTTCGTATATAGTTGTTTATTTAATCTCTATCATTTATTAGTCATCTTTACTACTAGTGGTGAAAAATCTCGACTAGTAGAATTATAAGAAAAGAAAACATGCATTGTTCGAATTTAGAGTTCTCATTTATTGAAGACATCGTTGCTTCTTTTATTTTTCATTTTTACATCTTTTTGTGTTAGAATTCATTTTTCGACATTTTTCCCCTTCGATATTTTTTCTTTCGACATTTTTCCCTTTCGATATTTTTCCCTTCGACGTTTTTCCCTTTCGACATTTTTCTTTCGACATTTTTACCCTATTTTTTTCTCTTTCGACATTTTTCCTTTCGACGTTTCTACTGCACACCAAATTAACATTATAAAGAATATTGTAAATTAAACAGAAGATTTCGATAAGATTGTATTTATTTAGATCGAGATCGTTCAAAAACATTGCGTGAAAAGTTTAATGTTGAACGTATTCCAACTTTAGTTACGCTTTTTCCTACATGTGAAGTAATTGCTGATGATAATATCGATGCCGATTTAGTACGTGGTGCTTATCATAGAGCTGTACGTTACTGGTGTAAAGGAAAACGTTTGTTTTGATCACGTGAAGCACGTGAAGGTGAATATGTTTGGAATGGTATTATTTGTCATCAATGTTATATAAGTCCAATCGTTGGTTCACGATATAGTTGTACAGATCAAAAGTGTTATGTAGATTTTTGTGAAACATGTTTACCAAAAATTAAACATGAACGTCCTCTCGTTGAATATTTAGTACCTACACGACAATATTTATGAGAACAACTTTTCAAATCAGTTCCTTATTTACTTAATTCTAATAGTGAAGAAAAGTTTGAAATAAAAACAATATGGGAAAATGATGTCAAAAGTATTGGATTTTATTTTTCTGCTGATTGGTGTGAATCTTGTCGGGCTTTTACACCAAAATTAGTAGAAGTTTATAAAGAAGCACAAGCAAAATCTCTACCTTTTCGTATAGTTTTTGTATCATCTGATTTCGACAAAAATATCGTTCAGGAATGCCTTGGTCTGCTGTTTCATTCAATTCAAATCATCCTCTCGATACATATTTTTATTCTTCTTGCAAGTGTTTATTTGATTTCTTAATGTTAGATAATAATTTATTATTCTTTTCTCTGAAGATATTCCAAGATTTTTCATTGTTTCATCAAGTGGAAAAGTTCTATCCCGTCGTGGCACACTTGAACTTGTACCACAACCGACCGAATATGAAGATGATTGAAGTCACAAAGAAACAAATTTTTATATGTTCATCAAAGACACTTTCCAGTAATGAAACGGATCTCATTTTTTCATGCATTTATCAATAAAATCTCTTTAAACTTTCTCCATATCGTCACGAAAACTAAGTTCAAGTAAATATTCATTAATCAAGATCTGTTCGAAAATCTTTTAACAATTTTTAAACAACTATTTAACTTTAACGATAAATTAGAACCTAGATATCTAGCTTTGAGTGTTGAGTTTGTAAATCTAAGTTTAGATTTTTATTATCTTCGAATAGAAATCGTTGTTAAGGGTAAGTATAGCTACCACAATACCAGGCATTTCGATGTTGCTTATATCTTATCAATCTTGAAGGTGAGTGAGGGTGAGGGTAAGACAAGCTGCCATGACATATGTTTCAACCTTGCTTAAGGGACTCATACCCTATAGGGTATGAACAGATTAATGGAAACTTTGATTATCAGAAATTCACTAGCAAACACGCCATTAGCACGAATGATTATTACATCAGTCAATAATTCAACGAGCTCTATAAATTGCATCACTAAAATTTTAAAAGCGATTTAACAGTCCATTACCTTCCCTCGTGAGCTGAAACTTCCAGGATAGAATACGGACCATAAGGTCTGCTAATGAAGAAACTGTCAGGCAGAAATTCCTTGGTGAGGTTTTTTCCATAATACTTTGTGATTGCCTGAAAATTCAATAAAATAGTCATGACTCGAGAAGAAAGGTCTAATGACACTGACCATTTTAGAGTTATTATTTACACTATAAGTCCTATCTATGGACAAAATATTGAGCTCAAACGGCAGTTGTCAGGTAGATAGATTCCTTCGTAAGGCACTGACGTGTCACATATCATGCGTAAGGATATCAGTTTTGGGTTTCATTCCTAACAATCCGGAATCTTATGTAGGTTCTCATTTCTGGAGACCCAGAAACACGAGATGACTTACTACAAAATGAAAGACGACGTATGTCTAAACATTCCAGTGTGTTCGAAAACGCATGGACAATAATTTTCAGATGAATGTGGGTTCCTGCGGGACGGAACTCTAAAGAATGAGAATCCTGGCACTGCTACCTACTAGCAAGATAGTTATTTTTTGTCTATGTTCAACTACTTCCAGTATATATAGATGCCGAGTAGTCTGCTTGTTATAATAGACTGATGTGCCTAGTCTGTCAGGATGAGTCATCCATGTCTTTGCATTAAGGTATCACTCGTATGTCCAACCATTAATATTTAGTTTTTCTAGTGATGAGAGTTCTTTTTTAAGAAAAAATAACGCTTTTTTTCAGTATATATTTGAAACTGTTTAGTAAACAAGAAATCCGATTGTCAGGTTTTCAATTAATCGAATCAACATCTGCAGTTGACATTTTTACCAGAATGAGTTATTGTAATAAACATAAAAGTCAATTGCCATATGCATACTCGTTTTTTCATTCAAGTTTTTCGCCGAAAGTTATATTAGCAAAACGTTTCATTTGAATTCAACCTCTAATCTGCATGAAAATTTTAAATTTAGTTTTGATTTCTCGTGCGATAATCAAAAACTGGACACAGCGACGAAGTAGG